AGTGATCCGCCTGTTTACAGGCTCCCAAGAGCTGGGCTTTCAGGTGTGCACTACCACGCCCAGTCTCAACTGCCGTCTCAGAGTACCCTGGGGGTGGGGCCGGCACAGCAGACCTGGGGATCGAACCCTGGCCCTTGTGCCTGCTTGCAGGTGCTTTAATCCACTGAGCTATTTGGCCGGCCCTCCCCCACTCAATAGTAATTTCTACGCCCACCTCTTCTACCCTGAGCCCTGGTGACCTTTAATTCTGTTTCGTAAATGTGCCTAGTCTAGACATCTCCTAAGTGGAGTCACACAACCCTTTTTCCTTTCACCTGCTTTTCTACTTAGTATGTCCACAAGGCTCGCCCATGTTACAGTAAGTGCCACACTTCTACTACAGTCACTAATGATCACACACATAAACGTTCACAGCACAGATCTCACAAGTGTTCTCACCATGCACAGGTGTGTTTACACACACCCCAGAACAAACTTCATTCCTTTTTATTTTATTTATTTAAACTTCATTCCTTTTAATGGTTGAATAATAAATATTCCATTGTTTGGATATACCACAATCCCCTTTAATTTTTAAGTTATCAGCTATTTGACTCAGAATTTTCTTTTTTAGCGGAACCAGGGATTGAACTCAGGCCCTTGCGCTTGCCAGGCAAGTGCTTACTCTACTGAGCCACCTCCCTGGCCCCTTATGCAGAAATTTTGAACAGCTTGCTTTATTAATCAATCCAAGTAGTTCTTTATTCTGGCTCTCCTCATATTCCCATTGTTTTATTTTCTTTGTGCTATTTTTCACTGTCAGAACTGCCCTGTCTTCCAGAACCCATGCCCTGTGGAAGCGAGGCGCCCCTCGCGCCCCCGCAGCCGGGTGGCCCTTACCTGGCACGCTGGCGATGCACAGGACGTGCGAGTTGCACACGGTGAAGCTCTCGAGGATGTTGCCAGGCTGGATGGCATCGATGATGATCACTTTTGTTGCCGAGTGAGTGCTGGTGCAAATCCACACCTGACTGGACAATTCTTCATGAATTTTTAACTCCTTCTGCTGTTCCTGCGCAGGCGAAGTTAGGAAACCGAGTGGTTACAATCTTGTATGTGTACAAATACCCAGAGGCTGTGCTACCACAGTGAAAGGCACTGCTGCTTCCAATTTATTCTAGATCATCTGGAGTACTAAAACTGTGACCCGTTAGTATCAATCACTAGATTATAATCTAGTAGTTATAGCAGATTGGTGATTACAATGTGCGGAATCATGACTGTCACACGGGAGTGAACTCCAGTCCTTGCACGCGTATCCTTGACTGCGTGTAAATTACACATCAGTGACACTGGCTTTAAAAGGGCAGCTGGCTTTATACAACGGAGTACTACTCAGCTATAAAGAAGACTTGAAGCCTCCGTAGCTAAGTGGATGCAGCTAGCGAGAGCCACGTGTGTAAGTACTGTATTGTCTCCCTGGTGTAAGAACCTGAAAGAATAAATAAAACCTAAAAGGTATAACAGACATAGGAAAATGGAAAGAAACTGAACTTGAGAAAAGATAGGAAAAAAGGAAGGAGGGAAAAACTGGAAAGTATATACATAGGATGGCTGAGATGATTGTACTCATAATTTCTATCAGTTTTCTGAAAATGGAAGTTAATGTTTAGGGTTTTCACGTTGACTAACTCTGTATGCTGCTATCTGCGATCTGAGCAACTACATCAAGGCCAGCAATGTGCAATACAAAACCCATGGTTGAATACTTCTCAGCTTGCTCTTCTAAATGTGTACCATTTCTAATGTCTTATCAATTATTATACTCTCTTTAAACTAAATTAAAACAAAAAAAGACAAGGAAAAAACAAAGTGGGCGAGCTGGGAGAGTGCGCAGGGGCACAGGGCCTTCCGTAGAGCTCGGCCCACACGTGAAGCCTGGACCCGAGAGCCAAGCACACCGAGACAGCGGAGGCCGCTGCCGGCGCGCTCACCTTCAGCTCCTGATCCAGCTTATCCAAGCTGCTCTGGGACGCGCTCCGTTGTTTACTGCCTTCCGCATCCAAACCAGCAATGTCCTTGTAAAACACGCTTGCTCCAACCACGGACCCGCCATCCCTGGTCTTCCCACCAGACAGGTTAACTCCAACAGCACACCATAGCTTCTCGGGGCGGGGAGACAAGGCACAGTTAATTTACTTTTGCTCTAAAAATGTTTAGGTTGGATAACTGTATTATTTATTTATTTTTTGTGTTCTTTAGTAAGGATCTATAGGGTCTCACTATATAGATTGGACTTGTAGTGATCCTCCTGCGTTCAGCCCAAGAGCTGGGATTACAGGTGTGTGCCACCACGCCCAGTCTCAGTCACCATCTCAGTGCACCCCGTGGGCGGAGCCGGCAGGGCACATGGGGGACTGAACCCCAGCTGCTGCGTGTGTTGCTTATTTCTGCTTAAATTTTTTAATTTTTATTTTTAAAATTATTATTTTTCATCTTTTTAATTTCTTTATTTGTTACAGGGTCTTGCTACACAGCTTGGATTCACAGTGATCCCGTCTCAGTCCCCTGGCACTGGGATTACAGGCATGTGTCACCATACCAGTTTTTGGTGGCCAGCTTGGCGTGGGGCCAGCATGGTGTGTGGTACCGGGTATCAAACCTGGGTCCTTGTACTTGCCAGGCAGGTGCTGAGATCACTGAGCTATCTCCCTGGCCCTCCTTTTTAATTATTTATAACTTCTTTTAGTAGCAATTTTTCAGGTTTGTATCTGGCAACCTAAACAACCAATTTGAAGATAACATTATGCAGTGCAGTACAAGAATCATTGTTAAATTCCTATTACTTTGTTTAATGAAATTTTGTATTGTTTCTTTCTTTTTTGCCATTTTGTATTCTTTAGAAAATAAAAAATAAAACGTTCAGGATTTTTCATTTTTTCTTAAACCTTCTTGGTTTTAGGGCACAAAAAAAAAGAAGCAAGAAAAACGAATCTACCCAGAGACTGACGACCACCGGTCTCCTGGAGCTTCGCAAGGAGCTTACCTTCATGGATGCATCTTTTTCATCAAGAGGCCGGAGATAGACAGGCACAGGTAAATTTTTCATCTTATTTTCCCCTTGGCCATTGGTCACCTAATAATAAGAGGAAGGGGACACAGGAATCAGAAAGGTTCACTGAAAGCGAGCCTCCTTCAGAACCATTAAGGCACAGGCACACTCTGCTCTGACACATTTGCTCCACGAAATCAAATTGATTCTGTTATTCTTACTTGAGAGTAAGCAATCGAGTGGCAATACGAGCACATAAGTAGGGTGTGAGGGGAGCTCCGCAGAGAGCCACTGACACACGTGTGTGCTGGTAAGTGTACTGCACACGCGCAGGAACAGGGCCCGGAGGACACAGCCATATAACTGTTCAGAACGCTCTGCCAAGGGCTTTTTAGAACTTTTGTTATTTAAAAAACAAGAGGGAGCCAGGGAGATGGCTCAGTGGAATAAGCACTTCCCTGGCAAGTGCAAGGGCCTGAGTTCAATCCCCGGTTCTGCAAAAAAAAAAAACAAAAACAAACTGAGAACTTGGGGCCAGGGAGATAGCTCAGCAGAAAAAGAGTTTGCCTGGCTACTGCAAGGTCCTGAGTTCAATCCCTGGTTTCACCAAAAACAAACAAACAAACAAACAAACAAACAAAACAAAACCTGCAAACAGGGGCCAGGGAGATGGCTCAGTGGAAAAAGCGCCTGAGTTCAATCCCTGGTTCCGCAAAAAAAAAAAAAAAAAACCCAAAAACCTGCAAACATTAAAACAGAGCTCTTCTGCTTAAAGCAGAACGACAAGTCTCACAAACTCCTGCGCCCCAGAGCCCCCCCTCTGTCACAGACTTCAAAGGCTCTCTCACACACGCCAGGAAGCAGCGTAGGGTTCACCAGGCTCAGCGCTTCAAAGCTCCCCACACGAGGGACAAGTCCATGCCACTCAAAGCAAGCAGGTCTGGACATGGACTTCCAATGCGTCACGCCCACGCACACTCCTCTCACTCAGCTCCTGCACGGCACCTGCTTGTATTTCTGCGGCAGGCTCCAGCCGAATGCTTGCACGCGGCCATCCTCCTTCTGCACATGCGCCTTCACCTGCCGGTACTGCTCCCTCTTCTGCTCTCTGCGTGAGGCTAAACTAGCTTCAGTTCTAAAGACCAAAAGAGATTCCCTTTCTCAATTAAGTGAAAATAACAAAAATTGCATCTCCCTTCTCTGGCTAAAGCAGCAAAGAAAAACAACAAAAAATACTTGGTTCCAGATTTGTTTATTCAGACAACTGCTTTATATAAAGTGTTAACACTTCCTCGTGTGTGCCCTAAAGGCCCAGGGTTCAGTCCCCAGCACCACCAGACAGACAACATACACATGTGTGTTAAAGCTGGTCTGTGTAACAGGTTAGTAAGCAGTCTGATATATTTATAGATATATCTATATGTACCAGAGATCGAACTCAGGACCTTGTGCTTGCCAGGCAGGCACTTGTGCTGCTGAGTTATATCTGAGCCATCCAACTCCTACCAGGTTTATGAATAGGAGAGCGAAAAATCCTCCCACAATGTTGGCTCTGCATTTTTTTGTTTATTCAACAAATACTGGGGCTCAGTGACACAGTGCCTGACTGGAAGTGCAAGGTCCTGAGTTTGATTCCTAGTACCAAAAACAAACAACCCACAAACCCCCAAATATTTTCTGAGAATATTCTAATGCCAAGAATGTGCTAGAAGTGACTGAAAGATCAATAAATCATTATCTACTCAGGAGGACAATATAGTCAACTTTAAATCCCAACGTCTTGTTGCAGAAGACAATGCAAATTGACTCAGAATACAAAAATAATTCTACAAATATTTTTTCTTTTGGCCATTTAAGTTTTTGTGAGGTGACCTGTGCAGACTGCATTTCACAAATGCACCCACACATCAGGCATTTCACTGATAACTACAATGTAGTCCTAACACCTGAGGCAGGATGTACTCCTTTTTCAGGCAGAGAAATGGGGCCCTCCAGGGTAGTTGGTCCATGTGCGTACCCAGCAAGGGGCAGAATCGGGAGGGAAAAATAGGCAGAAGCTGTAATTACGTACAGGAGCCAAGGGACGGCAAGGCTCAGAGGTTCACGGGAGTGCTAGGAGACCTGAGAAGAGGCGCCGAGACTGTACATCACTAACTTACCTTGGCCCTGATCACCAGTCCAGAAAATACTCACTCTTCACTAAGGAAGTCAAAGGCTTTGGACTTGTCCCCAGGGAGCTGTGATAAGGTGCTGCTTCTTTTCTTGACGGAGGGGGTCACATGCGAGGTGGGCGCATTGTACTTCAGATTGACGGGTGGCTCGGGCTTCTTGGTCGTGTTACTTGAGGAGCTGAAGAGTCGGCTGAAGCTAAACAGAAAAACAGTGCGCGTGTCCATCA